GAGCTTGCACTTAAATATAACCATTATCCAGGCTTCCAAGGGCAGACCCTTTTCTGTCTCCACAGCATATTCTCTCTGGCTGATCATTTATTTACTTTTACAAAACCGGCTCTCATCATGTATTCCTAGATCTAAGCCTCTGGCTCAGACGTCTCTAGGGAAAGAAAAGAAAGTACATGTATACTTCATATGTCATAATTTTCAGATTGCTATCTAATCTTGGTAATTATTTTAAATGGTTGTGTAATGTTAAGTGGCTATGCCGTAATTGGCTATTTTCCTAGAGAAAAATTGTCCTGAATTTCCAGCTCCAGACTACAATTCCACACGTGTATATTGAGTTCGAGGTTGAGAGGAATGCAAAGTGAAAGGACATCTTTCCCTCTCCAGGGCACTCAGCTCTCCCATGTAAAGACAGGAAACCTCATCAGGAACTTGGCAGACTTTTCAAGGGCTGTCTTGTCCCAAGTCAGCTCCAAGGTCTGCTGTTCAGCCTGAGTTGAGGGCAGCTTTTCAGCACTGGCGCAGATCACTGCCTCTGATCTCTGAACTTCTGACCCAGTCTGCTGTCGATTGTCAGAAAAGAAGTTTTGTGTCCCTCAAGTCCAAAAGAAATGTAAAGTTTTTTCATACTCTTATATCTGCATAAATCTGAAAAAGTAATTTACCTTCAGTCAAAGCAGGATTTTAAACACATGTTGAGGCCATTATTTTTCTGTGCTACTACCTGCCTTAAAGAATATTCTTTGCCACTCTTAGCCAGCAGCCCAGTCACTATGCAGACTCAAGAATATTGCTTAGTTTTATTCTGTTTCTCCAGAAGTGGTCCTGGAAACCAGCTGCTAATGGGGTTCTAAACTTCGTGTTGCTCTTCTCTAGAGATGTGAGAGCCCAAATGAGAAGGCCTTCGGAACACAACCTGGGGACTAGAGCTCATGTCAGCTTGTGCAGCTCTGTGGGCTTTGTGACCTTCCTGAGCTTTCTTGCTTATGGTCTCCTATCCAGCTGAGGCAGCCGTGGCTCTTTAGGAAGCCCAGCATGCTTGTTTCTGATGGTGGCAACACTGCCACTTTTGGTGCCTTTCCTGAGTGTGACTGCTACCTACTAAAAGAACCTACATTTGAAGTTTTGGCCTATTGAGGCCTCAGTTTGCTTGGTTGTTTTTTTTTTTTTTTAGCCATTTCCAGTAACACACTTATGATTTAGAGTATGCCCTTTTCAGTAGGTGGCTAACTTCTGATTTGAATCCTCCCCCCTTCCTTCCCAATCTGACTATCCCTTCTCCCTGTGTAGGATATTTCATCCTTGGTGTGCACCAAGTACTTCCAAACTTAATAGTTGTTGAACAAACAAACAAACAGCATTTCTGGACTTATAAGATGGTAAATAGAAAGCAGCATCATTCTTCACTAGCCTAGGAAAAAAAAGCAAGAATTGACAAATGGGGTTGCATTAATTTGAAAAGCTTTTCCACAGCAAAGGAAACAGTAGAGTAAAGAGACCACCTACAGACCGGGAGATCTTTGCCAGCTGTTTATCTGATAGAGGACTCATATCCATATTATATAAAAACCTTAATATCAAAAGAACAAATATTTTGATAAAATATTGGGCAAATAATTTACACATTTATTGAAAATATAATAAATGGACAATAAATACATGAAAAATGATTCATGTCTTTAGCCATCAGTGAAATGCAAATCAAAACTACGTTAAGATTCTGTCTCACACTGGTCTGAATGGCTGCTATGAAAAAAAATGCTGATGATAATACAGAGAAAAAAATCCATATACATTGTTGGTTGAAGCATAGATTAGTACAACCATGGGGAAGAACAATGAGGAGTTTTCTTAGATAACTAAAAATAGAATTACCATATGATCCAGATATACCATTCCTAGATATTTGTTGAAAGGAATTAAAGCCATCATGCAGAAGAGGTACATCAGTGTTTATTGTGACACTTTTGCATCTGGCAACAGATGAGTGAATAAAGAAAATGTATGTATTATATGTGCAATATATATTATTTAAAATATATGGAATATAATTTACTCAGCCATAAAGAAAAATTAAATAATGGCATTTTCAGGGAAATTGATGGAAATGGATCAATTCATCACATTAATTGAAATAAGCCAGACAAAGAAAGACAAGTGTTGTATGTTTTTTCTTTCATGTGGAAACTTGTGCGCAGGGGAAGGGGGATGACCTGAAAGAAGGAGAACTACTTACTAAGGAAGGCAAAGGGACCTGCAGAGAGAGGGGAAGGGGAGGGAAGAGTATATGTAGAAGAATAAAAAGGATTTGCTCAACATCATTTTGTAAAGATCACCAGTACTGATATATTTTCCTGTTACTCTTTAGCTGAAGTATGATCAAACTGTGATGTGTACATGTGTGAAAACATCGCAGTGCAAGTGTGGAGGCCCAACAAAACCTGGAGGAGTGACCACAGCTCGGAAAAAGTCTGAGTTGTTCTCATTTCTGTGCCACCTATTCACTCTTCTCCTGTGATCTCAAGTAATGAAAAAGACTTGAGAAAGAGAAAGAAAAAACTCAGCATTCAAGAACGAAGTATTCTTTAAGCGCAGAACTTAATGAAATCATAAATTTATTAGAACAAGAGCTCAAACTTAATATGAGACAGTAAAGTAAGACAAAATGAGATATATAGAACCAAGAGTGTAAAGTGAGAATGCAGCAATGTCAGTCCAAAACTAATAAATACATTGGAAATAGTAAAGAACTTAATGGCCTGAACATTGAATTACTGACTTAGTAGAAAACTGTAGAGAGGGCAAAAGCTCCGGAGAACAAAAACTAAAGAGATTAAGGCGGTTTAAATCATCATAAGGGTTATCAAGGGTACATCTAATTGATGTATCTAAAAAAAACCCTTTTTACAAAGAAAATATTGATCATAAAATGTATTAGAAGATCTATTAGAATACAAGTCTTCTAAAACAAACCAAGTTGCTGGAAGATAAAGGGATATGCAATGTTTGAAGGGTTGTATGTTAGAAGTTAAGATCAGATAGATCGGAAATGTGATAAACTTTGAGAGATGAGTCAGTCTGTATCTAAATTGAAGCATGTAGTTCAAAATATATTTTTCTAATTCTTCGGGGATTTTTCAGAAGTAGTGTCTTGTGAGGAAATGTGGATAAGTTTAGCAGTTTATTGTCACTTCAGCTTCATTTTAAGCACAAATTTTATTATCTTTGTGTAAAACACAAAATATTTTGTGGCTGTTCCACCTGTTGTTTGAAGTTTTGCATTTTTCTTTGGAGCTTAAGACACTTGAATTTTTTAAAACTTTTTAAAATCTAAAAATAAGAGAGTTCTTTCAGGAAGTATGGGAAACATAGTAAAATAATCCTGTGTACCACAGCCAGTACTATAGTTGGGCAGGTCCTGCATCGATGGGGCATGGCACAGCAGATGTTTTGGTCCTTGTGGGTCAGTTCTGTGAGCTGCCGCCACAGGTGGCTTCTCGTGTCTTTTATAACCACTTTCTTAGCCTTGGAGCTTTCCCTGTTCTGACAGCCCACCTCCCAGCTTTTTGGAGGCACTGGGGAAACTACTTGCCCTTGGTGGTGATTATCAGCTTTCATTTTGCCTGCTTGACTATTACCATTACTGAGAAGCAGAAGGAGCACATGACCGGCTTTGTTAAACACATCATGAGGCAAGAAATACGGTGGGGACATGTCATGCCATAAATGAGTGGACTGAAGAATGAAAAGGATTTGCTCAACATCATTTTGTAAAGATTAGCAGTACTGATATTTTTTCCTGTTATCCTTTAGCTGAAGTATTTTAGTCATGAGAATCACCCCCCCCCATTTCCTGATTGTAGTTGGTAAACATATCTAGAGTGGAGTAGTGTGTATTTTTTTCATTAAATTAATATATGAGAGCACATAAACAGATGTCACAACATAACCGGGATATTTGTATGTAAATTTTCATCCTCAATAAATGCAAAAGAGCTATTACAGTGTAGGTTTTTGATGTAGACTAATAGGAATTTCAAATATTTACATTGTAACAGCTATTGGAAGATAATGAGGATTAAAGTATTTACCCTTTCTACAGATAAGTAACACACGGTTGAATACTTTTTGTTGATATGTCCAAAGATGCAGCAAGTGGAAACTAAACTAAATTTGACAAAAACGTAATAGTTGACAGTTTTGAGGGTGGTTGTTGATGCCACCTAAATGCTGATTTATTTCCAGCACAGTGAAAAATACGGACACTTTCTTCTCTCTTCCCCTGCAGTGTTACCTATGTCTCTGTCAACTTGCTTCCTCATCTGGTATAATAACAAAGAAATAGTGCTAGTGAATATTTTGTTCAGTTAAAATGAGAGGCTTTTTAAGAAACCAAAAACCAAAAGCTGTTATCATCTTAGGACTTTTAAGTTTTGTAAATGAGACTTCACAAATCAATGGATTTTTTTACTTTCATAATTTCCCATTCACTGGCATAATTGCTATTACCAATGCTTGTGGTTCTACCAACCAATATGCCTCTATCATTCGCAGGATTTTTCACTGGAACTTATTATATCGTAACCCTTTTTCTCTTAAGAATATCACTATTTGGTGTTTAGAAACCTGCTGCAATTCTTGCTTTCAAAGATCCCGAGCGTGAGCAGACAGTCAGATAGGCAGCCCGAAGAGGTCGTGATTCCCTCTCTGCTGGTAGCCTTTCTGCGCTGTGGTGTCGCCACCATGGTCAGCAGAAGGCAAGGATTCTAGGAATGCACACTGGCATCTCTGAATTTGTATTTCCAAACCTTGATTAATAGCATTCTTTACATCGCCAGAATGTTAGAATGCAGGTTTATTGAAAATAGACTTTTCTTAAACCACCTTCAACTGTTACAGCGCTCACATAGTTGTAATCTTAATTACTTTTAAAGGAAATTATCTTTGGCATATGTACAATTTTACCAAATTTTCTTTCTTTCTTTTTTTTCCCCCAGCAGAAATCCTAGACGCTGGTGTTAAAGGAGCTTCCGAATTCCTGAAAGGTGTGAAACGGAAAAAGATTGTCACTGAGAATCACCTGAAGAAAATACCAAAATCCCCCTTGAGAAATCCTCTTCAGGCAAAATATAAGCAAAACTCAGACGAGTCATCCTTGGCTGTTCTTCAGAGTGCTTTGGAGTCTCAAAAGAAACAGAACTGTGTTCCTGTAAAAAATGGGAAGCAGCTAGCCAAACAGAACAGAGACATACCTGGGATTGGGTCCGAGGCCTCGAGCCCCAAAGGCTCTGCCTCCCCAAAGAAGCCTTCGTCCCTGCAGCACCCCGCCGAGCTGCGGAGATGGAGGTCAGAAGGTTCTGACCCTGCCGCACTCAGCAGCCTCCATGGAAAATGGGACTCGAGCTCCTCATCCAGTAAGGCCAGGACTGACACTAGTGAATGTATCTCTTCTCACTGTAGTACCACTTCCCCTGCGTACATAAACACCGCTTTCGATGTCTTACTGAAAGCAATGGAGCCAGAACTGAGCACCTTGTCACAGAAGGGCTCAACTAGTGCAATTAAGACAGAAAAACTGAGACCAAATAAAACTGTACGATCCCCTTCTAAATTAAAAAACAGTTCAATGGATGCCCCAAATAATCTGACTTCACAGGAATCTGTTGCTGAATCGCAGTATTCTCCTGTTACCTCATACTCAGTGCGCATGTCCGCTCCTCAGCAGAATGAGCAGGCGGCAGTTCAGTCCATTTCTCACTCAGATAATCAGCATGAACACTTTGTTTCCAAACCAAACCAACACAATCAGCAGCTTCCAAGGCATTCAGGTTTCACAGGATCACTGATGAACCTGCAAAATCAGGAGAGCACCAAACTTGAACAGGTTTATAGTATAGCGGTGGCGTCAACCATTGGTCTCACTTCACCTTCCAGTAGAACTCAGGTTACTCCTCCAAACCAGCAAATGGATTCCGTTTCACTTATGTCCATAAGTCCAGCCAGTTCCACCCAGTCACCTCCCATGCCAATTTATAATCCAACTCATGTTGCCTCTGTTGTCAGTCAAAGCGTAGAACAAATGTGCAATCTTCTTCTGAAAGATCAGAAGCCAAAAAAGCAAGGAAAATATATTTGTGAGTATTGCAATAGAGCTTGTGCAAAGCCCAGTGTGCTTTTAAAGCATATCCGCTCCCATACTGGAGAACGGCCCTACCCCTGTGTGACCTGCGGATTTTCATTTAAGACTAAAAGTAATCTGTATAAGCACAAAAAGTCCCACGCACATACTATCAAACTGGGTCTTGTCTTGCAGCCAGATGCTGGTGGTTTGTTCTTGTCCCAAGAGTCTCCCAAAGCACTTAGTATTCATTCCGATGTAGAGGACAGCGGGGAGAGTGAGGAGGAGGGCTCCCCTGACAGCAGACAGAATGACCCCGGCACCGTGGAGCTGCAGCCTATGCAAATAATGAAGATACCCAGTTTGGAAGTTTTACCAAAACCAGGTTCCATTCCAAGCAATCCAGATCATGTGGTAGGTGACTTTTCACCACAGGACAGATCTTCAGAATCACAAGCTATGACGGAGTTGCCGAAAGTTGTGGTCCATGCTGTCAGTGTGTCCCCCTTAAGAATCGACTGTCCAAAGGCTGTCAACCCCAAGCCTGAACTCTGCAATGCGCAGAGACAGGACCTTCAGGTCACCAATCTACTGTCTCAGTCAGCTCCTCTGGCCTCCCTGGAGACTGATGAGAAGGCCCGTCAGAAAGGGGACCCGAGTCAACCAGAAGGAAAGCAAGACTCTCATGGAGGAACAGCTCACGCCCAGCTCCAAAGACAGCAGGCCACCGATTACTCCCAGGAGCAGCAAGGGAAACTACTTCTGAGCCCTCGGAGTTTAGGAAGTACAGATTCTGGCTACTTTTCACGTTCTGAAAGTGCGGATCAGACAGTGAGTCCACCCACACCCTTTGCCAGAGCCTTTGCCACCCCAGAACAAGACTCAGTGAAGAGTAGCAGCCCCTCTGCGCCCCGGGTCAGCACACCAGCACCCTCTGCCCTTCTGGCAGGAGAGAAGCCCTTGCTTTTACCAGGCCAGATGCGGCCGCCCCTGGCAACTAAAACCCTGGAGGAACGGATATCGAAGCTTATCTCTGACAATGAAGCCTTGGTGGATGATAAGCAGCTAGACAGTGTAAAGCCCCGGAGAACGTCTCTCTCCAGACGAGGAAGTATTGATTCCCCCAAATCATACATCTTTAAAGATTCTTTCCAGTTTGACTTGAAACCAATGGGACGGAGGACAAGTTCAAGCTCCGACATACCAAAGTCCCCCTTCACCCCTACTGAGAAGTCAAAGCAAGTGTTTCTCCTGTCTGTACCATCCCTGGACTGTTTACCTATCACAAGAAGTAACTCCATGCCAACAACAGGTTATTCAGCAGTTCCCGCAAATATAATTCCTCCCTCTCATCCACTGAGAGGAAGTCAGTCCTTTGATGACAGAATTGGCGCTTTCTACGATGATGTGTTTGTATCGGCACCTAATGCTTCCGTACCTCCAAGTGGACACCCCCGTACTCTGGTCAGGCAGGCAGCAGTGGAAGACTCTTCAGCCACTGAGAGTCACACTGTTGGGCCCAGACAGTCCTTGGATGAGGGCTTTGCAGGGTGCCACGCCACCAGTGAGCCTACGGCAGCCCAGAACAAAGCCTTGGCCCCAGGCTCCCATCTGGAAAAGAAGAAGTCCCATCAAGGCCGGGGGACCATGTTTGAGTGTGAAACCTGTAGAAATAGGTACAGGAAGCTGGAAAACTTTGAAAACCACAAGAAATTTTACTGTTCAGAGTTACATGGGCCCAAAACAAAGGTCTCAGTGAGAGAACCTGAACACAGCCCTGTGCCTAGCGGAGCACAGCCTCAGATTTTGCACTACAGAGTCGCTGGGGCCGCAGGTGTTTGGGAACAGACACCCCAGATAAGGAAAAGGAGGAAGATGAAAAGTGTTGGGGATGATGAAGAACTTCAGCAGAATGAAAGTCAGTCTTCTCCGAAGAGCTCTGAAGCCCTTCAGTTTCAGAATGCCCTAAACTCCACTTCCAGCCTATCTCTGCACGCTGTCACCATGACAAGTGACCAGCCGCACAGAAACAGGCAGGTGCAGAACGCCCAGATTCAGCTCATTGCAAGGGGCCCTGAGCAGACCGTGGAGCCAAAGCTGTCCCCCATCGTAGAGCAGCAGATGGGTTCAGCTGTCCTGGACAGGGTGGAGGTGAAGAGACAAGGTACTGGCATCTCAGTCATCCAGCACACGAACTCCCTGAGCAGACCCAGTTCCTTTGACAAGCTGGAGCCTTTTGAAGGAGGCTCCCCAGGGTCTTTCCAGGAGCTGAGTCGAAAGCCTGGGTCTCTGCAGGTAATAGGACTCTCCCCAGAGGAAGGTCACCCTTCTGGGGACGTGCCCCGTCCTCACCAGCCTCCACTGTCAAATCCTGTCAGGGGAGAGCTCCAGGAAAATTCCAGAAAGATCCCAAGTGAGAGGCATGTGTCAGGACAGCCCTCGAGACTTGTCCGGCAGCACAACATCCAAGTCCCGGAAATTCTGGTCACAGAAGAGCCAGATCGGGACTTGGAAGTTCAGGGCCAGGATCAAGACAAATCGGAGAAGTTCAGTTGGCCTCAGCGCAGTGAAACCTTGTCAAAATTGCCAACAGAGAAACTGCCACCCAAAAAGAAGAGGCTCCGCCTGGCCGAGATAGAACATTCCTCCACCGAATCGAGTTTTGATTCCACGCTTTCCCGAAGCCTGAGTAGGGAGAGCAGCTTGTCCCACACTTCGAGTTTCTCAGCCTCCTTCGACATAGAGGACATTTCTAAACTGGAGGCTTCCCCCAAAATTGATTTCCCAAACAAAGCTGAGTTTCTTGTGATTCCACCTAGCTCCAATACACTGAATGTGCCTGGAAGTCATCGGGAAATGAGGCGTGCGGCGTCAGAACAGATCAGTTGCATGCAGGCAGCAATGGAGGTCTCAGAATTCAGAAGTAAATCCTTTGACTGTGGAAGCATAACTCCATCCCAGGTGACACCATTTGTTGAATCACAGCCTTCAGCTTCCCCTATTGGTGCGGGGGTCACTGGACATGTGCCTCTCTTAGAGAGAAGGAGAGGCCCACTGATCCGGCAGATCTCTTTAAACATAGCTCCAGAGAGTCATCTGTCTCCTGTGAACCCATCTTCTTTCCAAAATATTGCTCTTCCCAGCACAAATGCAGGGCCACTTCAGGGTCCTCAACCCCCTAGTACATCTTTAGCTGAGTTCCCTTTGAATACTTCACACTCCCTGTCTCAAGTTAAGGATCTGCGGGCAGAAATGTCAAATTCCAGCCCTGCTAAAGTCTTTCCTGTTCAGCAGCTTTTTGGTGTCAATTTGTCAAATCAAGCCCATCCACCCTTCAGCCACCAGAACACCCAGCTGCCTTTGCAAGTGTCCGCACAGAGTGACAAAGCAGATGCACATTCCGTGCTCAGTGTGTCTTCTAAAAGTGAGGATTGCTTCGCTCCCAAGTACCAACTTCAGTGTCAGGTTTTCACCTCCAGTCAATCTTGCTCTTCTAATCCAGTATGTGCTTTGCCGAATCAAGTTCTCTCAGATCCAGCTGGAGCGGATCCATGCACAACTTCAGTAGCATTGCCAGCCAAATTACTAGGTCCTGTGTCTAATTCATGTCCTGTACCACCACTGGAGCTTGGGCCGCTGGGCAGCCAGACACAGGTGCCATCATCCTTCATGTTGCCCATGCACCTGCAGAGTAATGTTCCCACTTACTGTTTTGCCACCATCACATCTCTGCCACGAATCCTAGTGACCCAAGATCTGTCCAGCACACCAGTTTGCCAGGCTAATCGAAGTGTAGTGCCAATCAGCGAAGAACAGATTGCTATGCCAAAATCACAGAATGATCTCCTGAATGCTTTGCCAAACCCAGAGAAAGAACTTGTTTGTAAAAATGTTTTTTCAGAGATAGGCCAAAATTATTCTCTCCCAGAGTCTTTGCCTGTGACTCAGAAAATGTCTGTGGGTAGACTTTCCCCCCAGGAATCTTCAGCCTCCAGTAAAAGGATGCTCTCCCCAGCAAACAGTTTAGACATTGCTATGGAAAAGCACCAGAAGAGGGCTAAAGATGAGAATGGAGCCGTTTGTGCCACAGATGTGAAACCCATAGAATCACTGGCTTCAAGGGCTAATGAGGTTAATAAGCAGAAGAAACCAGTTTTAGTGAGGCAGGGTTGTACAACAGACCCCCTAGAAGGTGTGATAGTGGAACAGGATGTTTTTTCTCAGCCTGAAACTATTTGTGAGGCTGTTAATTTGACAGATGTTTTACCAGCCAATAATTCATCAGGACACTGTAAGTTTGTAGTTAAAGAGCCTATCAGTGAATTGCAAGAATTTGAGACCATCAAGTCTTCCACACCATCAGCTCTTACAGTTCAAAATTCACCTGTGCTTTTAGAAAACACCCATGTTTCTCCTTTGAAATCTGTAGAGAGTAACCAAGAAAGGAAGTCTCCAGGGATTAAAAACCAAGGTGACAGAGTACACATTCAAGGACAAAGTCAACTGCTAACCACCACTCTTCCCTTGTGTAACACTGCAGACATGCAGCAGCTGTCTTTTCCCAGCCTCAAGACTGCTACTAGCTTTACCTGGTGTTATCTGTTAAGACAGAAGGCATTGCCTCTGCTTCAGAATAACCAGAAAATTTCAGCTTATACTGATTGGACAGTAAGCTCCAGTAACCCAAATCCACTCAATTTGCCTACAAAAGTTGCTCTCTCCCTCCTTAATTCGAAACAGAAGACTGGAAAATCATTATATTGTCAAGCAATAGCCACCCATTCGAAATCAGATTTATTGGTCTATTCAAGCAAATGGAAAAACAACTTAAGCAAGGTAGTTAAAATATAATTTATGTTCAAATATGGTTTGTACAAATTAATTTTAACATGTCATGATACCTTTAGCTTGGAAGGATTTTAGTCTTGAATGACAAGTTGCACTATGTGTGTAGCTATTTGAAAGACAGTGATATATTTGCCTTGGGAGTTGTTCTGATAAGTGTTACAGAGCCCTTTTTATGAATGCATTTTCAGAATGAAAACTTACTCTTAGCACATTTTTCCCCCTTAGCTGACTGTGGTAAGTCTCTATGTAATAGTATAGATAATCAGTTTTATTTTGCTCTTTTTCGTTTATTTGAGAAGAGATTAAGGTTATTCTTTGTCTGTGCTAGTGCAGGAAGACAAAGATGTAGAAAATCAAAGACTGACTTATTTTCACGTGTCATGCAAGCAGAGAGTTGTTCCTGCCTGTCCTGTGTGTTCCACCTCTTCTCCCTTCGCCACACCTACCCCACCTCCCTATCCACACAGGTCTGGGAATCACTACTACAGGGAATATTAAAAAGTAATGAACTTGTATGCTTGATAAATTGATTTGATGTTGATGTATGGTGTAGTTTAAGGTCATGAAACTAATTTTGGGTAATTTATGAAATCAATCTCATAAGAATCAGTGCTTTTATAAATGGAAAAAATCCTGTAAGTTATTAAGAATAAATACATAAATGAGTTTATCAACATTGAGCTCTGGACATTTAGCATTATCTACTAAATCTTTGACCTTGGCAGGCTCACAAGCTATAATACATTTACGTAACTATAAAGAAAATATTGCAGTGTCAATTTAATAGTAAAAATATGTTCAATTCTAAAATAAGAAAGTCTTTAATATTGCCATAGGTAAGGGGGGTGTGGATATAGGAGGATACTCCAAAGGTAATGGTACTGATATTTCAGACGAGTTTCAAAAAATAACAGGAATTTTTCATGCAAACAAGAATTTAAAAATTTTAATAGACCACTAAATTATATGGAAGCAAGACATTTTAGTCATTTAAACAACTGCATGAAGTCTGGCATGACCAGAGGTTCTGTAAGTTTGAAAGAGCACCACACGTTGCATTTGGAAACATAGGTAGAAACCAAAGCATATGCATGGTGGTGGTGAACTATAGTGGCTTTTCAGTGAAGGGACCGTGCATCCAAACCATTTGTGAAACTTGCTTTTTAAATACTCAGATTCTAACCAACTAAATCAGAGTCTTAGACCTAATCATGAAAATTTAAACAGTGCTCCATTTGTGTTCCTGATATGCTAATGAAAAATAATTCTCCTAGTCTATGGATGTAGCTCAGTTACACAGCATGTTGTATGAGATCCTGGGTTTGATCCCCAGCATAGAAAAAAAACCCAAAAAGTCTCATTGAGGATCAAGTGTCTTGCAAGAAACATCTGGAAATGCATACCTAGGTTTGCCTCTCAGGAGAGAGCTCCAGGTGGAAGGTAGAGAGATTCCCCAGTGCCTAGGTGTAGTTAGCAAGATAGCTCAAGGAGTGTATAAAGAAGAGGAGAGGTTTAGAAGGATTCCACAAATCTCTATTAGAGGGATAAATGGATGAAGAATGTCCACACAGGAAGCTAAAAGAAATTGTTGTAGAGGAAGAAGGAGAGCCAGGAGAAAGTGGTATCACACCAACTTATGGACCAATGTATTGCAAGAGTTGTTCAGGTAGAGAAGTCAAATACAGATGAAAGCAAACAGGAATGTCTGGGCTGGGCAGTTGTAATGGCAGTGGAGACCGGAGTCCATGGGGAAGTGGGCCATACAGGATTCAGTACTGGGTTGATTCTTACACCTCCAATGGTGATGCATTTGTGATTCCAAATGGAAAAAGAGTAGGTAGACGCCATACATGAAAAGAATTTCTAAGGGAAAATAAGCAATCAGCAATACCTGATGCCCAGGGATGGTCAGAACATTAAGACTGGAGGAAATTACAATGATTTGGGCACTTGAACCAGTTGATAACATCAGCAGATAAAAGTTGGATTTGATAATAGGAAGGTGACCAAAAGATAAAGGGGGACTTGATACTGATGAGAAGGAAAGAAAGGATTACTGTTAAAGGGGTGCATATATTCCCCCTTATGGGGAAGCCTGATCTGTTGGCCAGGAAAAGCAGGGACAGGTGTGCTTTTACCTGTTGGCGTGGTCCTGGCAGCACACACCACACTGTCTGCCTGCAGCTTTTCTGTCCCCTTGGGAGGACAGAGACTTCCCCATGTACTTGTCTGAGGCCACACAGCCCCTCATCCATTATGCCCACTCTCCTGTTGGTGGTATCAAGTCATTGCAGGATGATAGCTTTCTCCTTGGCAGTGTTAATTGTTTAAAGATTTATATAAAAGAAGCCTTTGATTAGAGAGGTTTGTTTCTCATGTTAGGTTCAGCCAAAAGGCTAGGTTCGAGCCTTTGGTATTAACACCTTCCTTGGACTCCAGGAACCTTCACCCTGACAGGTGGAATGGCCCAACTGTACTGCCGCCTCACAAGGACACTTGAGCTTGGAGGGCATGGTGGCTGAAAAAACTCACTGTTAGTGGTGTGTGGTGGAGTCTTGCATAAAATCTTAAGTTGTGTTTCCTATGGCAAAACACATCGTTTATCATCTGGATGTTTATTAATTACCTTGTTCTAAAGACTTAATATTATCAAGCCAACGCTTAACTTTTGTCTGACCTGGATCTTACAAGTGATCAGTATTCAGGGAACTTTTGAGAAGATCTAGAGAGGAACTGTGCTTCTGGTTTGAAATAATAGAGGGAGGGTAAGCCAAATACTGGGAAATGGAGCTTCTGCTTGTATCTTTAGACGGGTGTAAGCTGAGGAGATTAGTGATGTTTCTTGGAGATCTGAGACGTAATACCAAAGGGGTGACTAGCTCTTCTCCGTGTCCAAAGAATAAACCCATTAAGCAGTATATATAAGCTGTAGTATGAGTGGATAAATGTAATAAAGGCTGGTGAGTCTGTCAAAGTTCCTGTTAAGGGCAGACGCTTGGGATAGTGAGGCTCGGGAGGGTGAGACATGAGGGAAAAGTGCCGCACGTTCAAAGCCAGCCTTGGCAGCTTAGCAAGGCCCTGTCTCAAAAAGGGCTGGGCATGTGACTCGGTGGTGGAGTGCTCACCTAGCATGCTCAAGGCCTTGGGTTCCATCCCCAGTACCCCCCCGCCCCCAAGAAATTCCTCTCAAGTTCACAGAGCACCAAAGTGGGAGGTTTGTTTTGGGCTATCAGGGACTGTGGTAGAATTATTTAAAATACCATAATATGGTGAATCAGTTACGGTTTAGAGAGATGAGAGAAGATAAAGCAAATGACCTTTTTTTATCTGTTACTTCTTAGAAGGGCATTTCCTTAAGTTAACTACATTGTTTATACTCGGTGGTATTTTAATTTCCAGCAAAATGTCAGCATGTTTGTGTTTTCAGTTTTATTAAATTAGTTTCTTTTTTTTTCCCTTTTAGAGAGCATTAGGTGTTCAAAAGTCCACAGTAGTTGAATTCAACAGTAAAGATGCCTCTGAAATTAACAGTGAGCAAGATAAAGAAAATTCGTTAATCAAAAGTGAACCAAGAAGAATTAAAATATTTGATGGAGGGCAAGTACAAAATTTACTTCTTAAATGTACATTTAAAGTTACTTTTTAAATGTACATTTACTTTTATGTGAATTAGTACCAATTTTATTTAAATCTTGCAAGGTTTACTAAAAGAATCTTTGTGGCAAAATATATATTAACTCCATTTTGATGGAGAAAATGATGACCAGCAAACATCGGAGGGCCTCACAAACCGCTGTGACTGGGCTTTCATAGCGAGCCCTCATTCCATACTGGAATGACTTGGAAAATCTTCTCTGAGACAGATGAATATGTCGCCTATTTGACTGATGTCTTTGTGTATTCTATTATGAGGAAAACATTGTAAAAATCAATTATGGTTATAGTGAAGCCCAGAAATATTTCAGTACTTAGAGTTATTGTGATTGAATTTAGCACCAAAGAAAACTTTTAAACCAATATCTTACAATGAAGGAAATATTTTTAAGTTAAACATAATATTGAATACGTTTATTTGATTGAAATTAGCTTTAAGAACCTTGTGTTACTGGGAAAAATTGGAATAATCTGTTACTTACCTTTGTATATATTTTTTATAGATTGAGTATAAAAGTTGTGTTTATTTTGTAGGTAGAATTTTAATCATGGATATTTTCTGCTAAGAAAAGTGTCCAATCTCATATAATTTTTCTCTTCAAATTAGGTACAAATCAAATGAAGAGTATGTGTATGTCCGAGGCAGGGGAAGAGGAAAGTACATTTGTGAGGAATGTGGAATACGCTGTAAGAAACCTAGTATGTTAAAGAAACACATACGAACCCACACAGATGTTCGCCCCTACCACTGCACTTACTGTAACTTCTCTTTTAAGACAAAAGGTATGAGATACCCAGTGCTTCATGGTCCTTTTCATATGACTTTGTATATTCTTTGAAGGATACCATAAAGTAGCTTAAATTAATTAAATTACATCTTATCAGGAGTGCAGTTTAATTTATGTTTCTAGAACCTTTGGGAAAGAGTTAATAACAGTTTTAGAAAAAAAAAAAAAAAAATATATATATATATATATATATATATAGCATTTTAAAAGGAGCAACTGCCCGTTTTATATTTTATTCCCTAAATTCCCTAAATTTTTTTTTTAACTTTTTTTTTTTATTAAATTCTTTTATTGGTACATTGTAGGTATACAACACAATTACATTTCTCATTGGGAATTGTACCTTTACATAATGCATCTTGGTTCTTATTTTTTCCCCATTCCTAGCCCTCCCTTCACCCCCTCCACCCTAAATTACAGTTAAATAGCACAATGACTAATCCATTTTCAAAAATTCTTTAAGCTGAAGAAGAAAATGTTTTCACGATCACAAGTAAATTCATTTAGGTCTTCAAAGCTTAGAGATTTAAAATAATAGTGACAGTAAACTGTTATAATCATTCCATCCATGTTTTATCATCTAATTTTAAGCATACATAGACATTTTTTTCTGATGTATTTTTAACCCCAAATACTGTTGATTTTTCTTCAGATTTTTTTTAACATTTCTATTTATTATTTATAAAAAGATCTCAGAACTAGTCATTACAATTATATTTAGCATCCTCTTTTCTTTATATGTTCTTATTTAACTGATAGGCCATTATTATAAAGTAATTTTGCCTTGTATAAGTTTCTTGTTATACGTAATGGATATGTTACTGCAAAATGTTTGTTTTCTTCATTAGGTTCCTTGTGTATGAATCATTATACAAACATTTGTTACTTGAGACTTTAATATTATGTACTACCCTTTAAAAAGTAAGACTCTCATACAGAAACTGTTTTTATCCCTTTTGAGTCAGCATTGGCTTTTTTTCTGTTAAATTAGTTGCATTCAGTTTCTGTTGTAAAGATTGATCAACTCTTTACCAAAACTTGTTATATTTTTTGGCTAGCATTTGTTGACATTTAAAGAAAGTTGTAACATGTAACAACTAAACAGTTTCAAATAACTCTCTTGAAACACCAATAGTATCTGAAACAATGGTGGAAAACCAAAATGTTCTTTTCAGATAGCTTTGAATATTTCTGAAGCTCCAAGACATCAGAGGGATGGGAGGAGTACTCAGTGGGTAGTTCTTTGAGAGTGATGTAGACCCTCCTGGAGGCAGAGGGCGAGTTTGAGGGTGATTTCCTGTGTGTTGAGTAAGAACTGAAGGAGCTCAGGTGCCCTGATCTTTTAAGCCAGTTTATTCTTTTTTCACTGGTTTTGGTCCTGTGCTCAAAGAAGTATCTGTGAATTTCCAGTGTGAGGCCAGAAACACATTCAAAAGGCCAGAGAGCATTACTCATACAAGATTTACTGAGTGTAGAATACTAGTACCAATTATAAGGAGATAATGATACGAGAAAATGACTATTTTCCATACAATGAAGCAAAAGATTTAGGGTATTTCAGGGATTTTATTCATAAAATAAGGGCCAGAAAGGAAGGACAGTATAGCAGTGGCAAACCAGATGAAACTACAGAGATTTCTTGATGAGGAGAAATATTTTGAGTTCCCAAGTGTTAATCTAGTGAAATAAAACAACATTGTGCAAGATTTTAGATAAATGTTTACTAAATGGTGGGCAGAGCTTGCTGACTCCTGAAAAGTGAGCATTATCTGTTGGCGGTTTCCACACCCTATGTACTGCATATCTGAACTCACATAATATTTTGTGTTTTGTCATAAGTCATGTGGAATTACATGAGAAATATTTATTTGACAAGACTATCCTAGCTTAGGGAACTGATATAAAAAATTTGGAAACTCATTATTTCCCTATTCTTAGCAAGACAGCTCTCATTATTTTAGGGTCAGATTCCTTTCAAAAGTGTAATCTTTGTAAATCTGTCTATGTGAAACAGATCCCATGACAGTTTTTAAACAGTTAAGTAGTAGGAGACCTGTTTTTGTTTTGAATTAGGTTGTAGAGTTTACCCAACTCTCATTTACTTTGTTATCCTAGCCAGCCAGCTGTACTTCTCATTGAATGTATCTGATGCCTAGCAGAGGAAATAGCAGTGTCACAGCGCACTGTGTAAATATGGCGAGCAAAGTACCAGCAAAACAATAGTCCATAGTGCTAGAATTTGAAGCTTGGGATGATAATGCTTACACATCTGTAACTCATCATTTGCCCTCTTTATTTCCTGAGTGCATTTTCAAAATAATTTTATTTGATTTATTTTAATGATGCTGCTTTAAAGGTCACTCAGCACAAAATACCTGATGAGCTTGCATCTCTGCAGGATATAGTCCCTTTTCTATCACAGGAAGCTCTGGAACCCAGAAACAAAACCTTTGAAGCTGTCTAAAGAATTTAGGTGCATGTTTATTAAATGCATCAGAAAATTTATCTGTTAGATCAATCCATTAACGTAAGGTTATTGTTAGGGTATGTTTTCATTTAAATATACAAATTTTTCATACTTAAATGCAAATTCACTTTATTTAAGAAGTTGATTAATAATTATAACTCAAATTATGAGCAGATATGCCTATTAAAAACATATTCCCAGCCAGGGATGTAGACCAGTGGTGCTGTGCCTGGCTGGCAAGCATAAGGTCCTGAGTTTGATCCCCAGTACCAGAATAAAAAAGGGGGAAAAAAATGTGGTAAAAACATATTCCCCAATTTGCCTAGTTATACTTACACATTAACTTCTTAAAAAGCAGGTAACCTATATTTGGCCTAGTTAGGGAACAGAAGTATTTTAAAAGGGAACTATTAGTGGACCTTTTAATTTGATTTATAATACTGTTATTGCACTGAAAGCATTTTGACTTTCCAGTGGAAATGTCAGCTACATTATGGTGACTAAACCAGTTTTATATCTTTATTGATATGAAAACTCTGAAGCTCTTATGGAAGAGTAAAGATTTGTGTAATGAATACCAGTACCCATGTCTTAACAGGTGCTAATGTTGTGCTATATTTGCTTCATGATTTAAGTGTATTTACCATGAATGTCAGACATAGCCTATCTAGGCCAGGTGGTGTTTCCAGAATCCCAGAAGTCAGGTCTCTTACGTCCTAGCTCTCTGAGCGCTCAGGCCTGGGTGGACGAGAAACTGCTGGCCAGTGCTAGGATTGGCTCATACAAGTGTGGCCAGTTTCACAGATTTGGTGCATTTGTTAAGAAATTGAACCTTTATAAATAAGCAAATTTTGTGGCCTTCTGCTACTGCAACCCCAAAATTTGGACTAATGATTCAAATACTTTTTATTCTTCTAAAGGCTATTTTCAAATACTAATTTGCCCTTGGCTCTTAAAAGAACTGGTTTGCCCTTGTTGGGGACAAAGATGCTTAGTGTCCTCAGAAGAATCTGACCTGTCCCCCTGCATGCGTGATCATGTGGGACAAGTGGACTCTGGTTCCCAGTGACCCTGGTTAGGCTTGCAGAGCCTGATCCATCAGCTGCTGGAGAAACACCTCCAGACATACTGTCAGTAGATGTCCAGTCAACACATGAGGCGAAATTCTTTCTCCTGTTCTGCATGTGAACACACAGAAGTACTGCTTATCATATTTAAAATGATCCACAATAGTTTATCTTAGACTCAGAAAATGTTTATGTCCTTTCCCCACCAGCTCAAAAACTTGAAATATAATTTCTCAGGTACCAGAAATAAAGAAGATGCTCAAAAGCAGTGTTATAAGCAGGTACTTTTAAAAATCTAAAAATCCATAGGGAAATCAAAGCCAGATTTATACACGTGGACCTGGGGTTTTAGTGCCTGGCCTAAGATGGAGTCTGAGGTACCTGAATTTAACCTAGTGCTCCTATTCCATGACTGTGGGTCCTGTGGGGGAAATAAGGTTTCTGCTTAAAAGTAGGACCCTTTACCGGTGCGGTCCAAACAGACATAGACAACAATAACAAAATGATCTGAAACAACGGAAACAGTTAAGGTACCAGGCAGAAGCAATTGAGAAACTGCTATAAAAAATGTTTCTACCACCCATTTCCTTAGGACTCCATGGAAAATGATCTTGCTGAAGTTAGCTTACAATGAAAACTAAAAAACATGCAAGGAAACAAACTACTGTGAGTGAGAGCCAGCAGATACAACTAATGGAGAATTCCCACTCCAGAAACTACAGCTTCAGTGCTGTTGGAAAAGGACTTTATGTGTAGCATGTTCCCAGAAATAAATAAGGAAGAGGGAATAGAAACCCTGAGACAAAAGTAGACACAAAGTAAAGGAGGCAGATTTGGAAAAGACACTGTTACTAATAAGTAACACAGTTGTTGCAGTGTATAGAGCCTAATATCTTGTTTCCAAATCTAGTCATTGCAATTGTTGAACCAGTCTGCTTTTGCTTGACATAGGAATGGAGTTTGCCAGTGTTAACAAATGCAATAGGAAAATGTTATTGTGTAAGCTTAGTAAACATTTTTTTTCCCTTAAGGAAACTTGACAAAACACATGAAGTCCAAGGCACACAGCAAGAAATGTGTGGATTTAGGCGTCTCGGTAGCTTTAATAGATGAACAAGATACAGAAGAGTCAGGTAAGGCTTTACACCTCTTCTTCGTAGATGCCGTTGGCCATGTACTGTTCGTTTGGACCCACAGCCTCCTGGTCAATGCCCGCCTCCAGCTTTTGTCGTTCCCACCCGCCTGTGCCGATGGTGCACTGATGCTAATCTTCCTAAGCTGCATGTCTGACTACATTGCTGCACTGACCATTTGGTTCGCAGTGGCCTAGCAAATACGTGTGAACCATGTTACAATCGCGCACCTTCACTATCTCCCACCTACCTGAAGGCTTCTGTCATTCTCCCTTCCACACATTTGTGGGAAGCAGTTGTTCCTGTCAGAGTTTCCTCTCCAGGCGTCCGGCCCTGCTGTGCCTCTCTTTTGGGTTTGCCTGCGTCTGTCTTTTCTTACCTCCACACAAGGCTGCGCAGAGCAGCTGGAGCTGAACCCACCATGCAGAGGACTCTGCCTCCCCGGCAGCTCTGCACAGCCCTGAGCATTGTGAGGGCTGCATCACTGTTTGTGGAAGAAAATATTTGTTTGCTTGTCAGAAACATGTCTTATTTTGAAAAAGTTACTTTTTTTTTTTTTTTTAAGTATTAGCTCAACATTCGTAAACACTTATTTCTGTCCAATTTGGCAGGAAAATAAACCTGATCATGTCATCTGAGTAATCAGAGAATAGAATTATCTTTTTGTTTAAAAAAATTAACTTATGGATTTATCAACAAAAGAGACTTTTAAGAAGATACTCTGTTCCATTTTACAACTGCCCTATATCTAATATTTACCTGCTTGCTACATTTTTAATTTATACAGTCTTATATAGTGAAAATGTCTAAAGAGAAAATAATGAGAACATCATGGAACATATAAGTTAAAATATCAACTCTTTCAATCCTATCTGACTAATAATAAAACTAAATGAAGCAGCCTGAATTTGTGTCTAAATGTTCAGGAGAAGTGACTCATTTCCTCAGTAGTAAGAGCAATTCAAATGTAACAAGCTAGGAAAAGTATGTAAGAGTTTTAGTAAGTATATGTATTACCCAGTGAGTAGGAAAGGTATAAAAGGTACCATAAAACACTGATGTCTAAAAAAAGACTTTATGAACAAAAACTCAGTGGCACAGGAACTAGCACAAAGAATCAACAACTGGGATCTCATCTTATTAAAAAGCTTCTGCACTGCAAGAGAAACCACCAACAGAACTAAGAGATAACCTACAATGTGGGAAAAAATTTTTAGCAGCTGTAACTCAGACAAAGGGCTACTATCTAGAATATATAAAGAATTGAAAAAAACCAGACCCCCCTAACCCAAATTCAAAGACCCAATTCAAAAATGGGCATCTGAAATGAACAGTCATTTCTCAGACAAAGAAGTAAAAGCAGCAAATAAACATAGGAAAAAATGTTCAACATCACTGGTCATTCGAGAGATGCAGATGAAAACAACACTGAGATTCCACCTCACCCCAGAAAGAATGGCTGCTATCAAGAAAGCAACCAATAACAAATGCTGGAGGGGTGTAGAGAGAAAGGAACCCTTCTCCATTGTTGGTGGGAGTGCAGACTGGTGCAACCACTGTGGAAATCAGTATGGAGATACCTCAAAGAACTAGGGCTAGAGGTCCCATCTGACCCAGCTATGCCCCTGCTGGGGATCTTCCCCAAAGAATTAAAAAGAGTCATACCACAGCGATATATGTGCACCCATGTTTATAGCGGCACAGTTTGTAATAGCTAAAGCTTGGAAACAGCCCAAGTGCCGATCAACTGGAGACTGGATAAAGAAGATGTGGGTTTTTTTGTAAAATGGAGTACTACTCAGCCATAAAGAATGAGAAATTAGAGACATTTATAGCTAAATGGATGCACATTGAGGCCATACTCTTAACTGAAATAAATAGGACACACATGTGTAAATACCGAACAGTTTCTCTAGTGTGAGAGAAAGCTGAAAGTGTCAGTAAGGACTAAAATGATTAAAACAAATAATTGATAATGTGAAATAGGAAGAAAAGGTCCAAAGTGGTAGAGGTGGTGGGAGGGGAAGGGGAAAGGAAAGAAGGGAAAGGAAAAATGATGAGAAAAGAAAAAAAATGGAAATAAAGTTTTTGTAAATAGGGAAGGGTGGAGGGGGTGAAGGGTGCACAGGTAATGGGGAAAAAATAAGAACCAAGATACATCATGTACAGGTCCAAGCACCCAAAGGTAAATGTAAACGTATACCTAAAATGTACCAATAAAAGAACTTAAGGCAAAAAAAAAATGAAAAATGGTCATAAGATAAAGAAATTGGGAAATAATTGGGTAATCCTGGATTTTAACTAGACCATGCTTCCCTTGTGTTTAGATATTTGAAATGAGTGTGTTAAAATAGACTTTCTTAAAGAGAAAAAAAAATGTTATTATAAAACAATACTGTTAACTTCATCAAGATGAATTTTATAAAAATTAACTAACGAACCTGTTTATAGATTCCTCTCAACTGTTAACGGTAGGTAGTACTTACATTCTAAATTTGCATAGTAGAAGTAGGAATAGTGTCCATTTGTTATCATGCATTGTTTAAATTGGCGGACTGGTTGATTTACGTAGCTATCCTGTCTTTTGCATGTTTTTCATCTCATTACCAAAGTGTTAGAAGCTGCTCGTAGGTTGAGTGGTACATCTGTTCATGAACTTAATTCTTTCCATGATTCTGGTCACAGAATTTGTTCTATGATTCTGGTTGCAACCGAATTGCAGAATAGTGGAAAGAATTAAGTTTGTGAACCAAGGTACCACTATATATCTGAGTTGATAGCCAGGGACTAGGTATTCTGATAAAACAAAATTTTTTCACCTTTTTAAAGTGTAATTTTATAAATTACTGTATTTGTGGGAAATGTGCTCAAAGTTGCTTCCTAGTTTTTATCAAGTGGTAAAATATAACAGATCTAAAGTCTGAGGATACTTAAAATTCTTCATTTCTATGCCAACAAAATACATTCCTCTCTTTTGCTTTATTATAGGCTTGTAGGGTAGGCATAATTATAGTAAACAGATGCTTCAAATATTTGTTTTTAAAATACAAAAAGTACAAAGAATTGTATTATATGCACTCATGTGTTCATACCAGAATTAATGATTATAAGAGTTTTCTCATATGTGCTGCAAGACCTTTTGTAAATTCATGATGTTTTTAAAAAGCAAGATCCATAAGGCATGACATGCAGGGTGCAGCTGTGCTCATCTTGATTCTGGTCACTCGCTCAGGGCCCTGAGGGTTTCCCTCCACTTAATCTAAGATCCGTGCATACACCTGGGAACCACGAGCATGGGTATAATTTTATTAGAACTGCTTTGTAGGCACCCAGGACATTGATTTGATTTTATAATTTTATGTTGTTTTCTACCATTTGTCCACTTCCCTAACATAATATTGTCAGAATTTTAATTTTGGCCACTTTGAAGAATGATAGTTTGTCATTTTTATTTGTGGTTTCTTGATTACTAAAGTGAAGTCAATTATTCTTTCAAAAGAACCTTTACTCCATGATATTGATGATAGTTTGGAGAGGTGGAATTTTGCATAGCTGTTTCAGCTGGCCTATATTTGAGAGTGTGGGGAGCCCAGACCCTGCAGTGAGGGACCAGAGCCTGGCAGGTGTGCACTGTGCCTGGAGGGTGGCTGTCCATCAGCCTAACACAAGTCCAGTTTATGCTGTTTTCTTTCTGTCCCCTCTGCCGGCTCCTCTATCTCCCCAGCCTTGGTACATGGGCCATGGGTCTCCTCTCTACTGTCTTTGCTCTTCCCTAGCTCAGTGACGGTGAACCTTTTAGAACTTCAATGAAACTGACAGCCTGCTGCAGCACCTGTGCCAGAGGTTCACCACCCCTGCTTTAGGGCGTCTCCAGTCTTGTGACCTTGAGTACCACTCGGGTGTAGGTGACACCCCATTTGCTCCAGACTTGCCTCCTCACCATTTGTTTGGATGTCTGTATGCATTCACCTTTGATAAGTGCCAAACTCCAGAATCACTCTTCACCTCAAAGAACCATGCTTCCCTTGTCAAGTTCTTCCAGACTTCCAGTTGCTAGACCCAAAACCTTGATGTTATCGTCGATGCTCCTTTTTTTTTCATTTTGCCTTTAATGTACCAGTGAAACCACTCGGCTCCTCTGTCACCCTGTTCACGGTCCTCTTGCTGTTAACCCCTTTTGCCACCCTGTCGGGGGAATGCTCCTATAGGCTCTGCTAAATTGCTTACAACAGCTTCTGGCTGGTCTCTGATGGCGATCCCTGGCCTGCTCCTCCCACAGCTTCCTGTGCAGAGGGCTGGTCAGCCACACCTCTGGAGCTCCCACTGCCTTCCCCTGCGCCGTCTCTGAGTCTCCTTCCCAGTCCTTCCTCCCTTGCTCACTCAGCAAGCCTTAAATCCAGCAGGCATCTGTCTCAGGGCCTTTGCACCTCTTCCACCAGGCATGACAACTAACCACACCATGCCTGCCTCACTCTGCTCAGAGGTCCCCCTCTCATTGGGTTCTCCTGAACCCCCCTAGATATGGAGACAAAAACACCCTACTCTCCTACTGTCCGTGTTACCTATGCCTCTTATACATCCCACTGTCTTACTGTCGGCATTACTTGTGCTTCTTGTCTCAATGTTTCATTTTTCTTCCTTGCACATATTGCTACCAGCTCTGTGTACTTGTTTATTATCTGTTTCCAACAGGTAGAAAATAAGTTACATAGAGACAAGGAATGTGGCTTTGCTTACTGCCCTAGGATTCTACCTAGCATATAGTACATTGTGAACAGTGTTACTGAATGGGCAACTATGAAAACAACACTATAGTTTAAAGGAAATAATTAAATATTATTATTTATAGAATTTGATAAATTTGTGTACATTAAATTCCGTCTCTAAAATTGAATGGTAGGCATAGCAAATGCACCATTTATACCTGTCTCTATAAATGGTGTTTGTTACAGGGTCAGCTGATATAAGTATTGTTAAGACAGTGATGGTATTTGTTTGTT